CTTCTGTGGGGTTTTTTGTAGTTTTTCTGTGTTTTTTTGTTGTTTTTACAAGCTCTGAATCACCCGTCTAGACTTTTGAGCATCTTCAGACATCACCCTACATGCATTTCTGGATTTTTTGGAATTCAAAACACATCTGCTCTCCACACAGGTATGCACACACACACACACACCGGTCCACAGCGAGGCCCTGCTCGAGCACATGCCCTTGCAGTTGCCTTGAGCTGTGGCCTTAATCTCCAAGGGGACTGAAGAAGATGTAAATATAGCTGTCAGCTGAAGTATAATTCCTTTGCCGGCAAAAAAAAAAAAAGGTGGAGTCCAGTACAGAGAGAACTCAAAGATATATAAGCCAAAAGGACAGACTACTTAAGTATGCACATTATTACAGTGTGAGAGCATACATTAAACGTAGAGCTCAAATCACACATCAATATCATGCAAAGATACCTGAAAGGCAATCTGTAATCTTTATTTGAAGCTATTTGAATAAATAAGTATGATTACACAGTCAACATTTTACCAATGTTTGCTAATGTATAGTACAACCCTGTACAGATGCTCTAAATTTCAGAATAAAGAGTAATTCTTTTACATATTACTTTCCCTGTAACACATGTGGAAGATAGGCAAACTGGTAGCAAAATAACAAAAACAAGAAAAAGCAGCAAAATGCTGATGAAATCCAAAACAAGTCAGGTCACCAGGAGATGAGGAAAGAGGAAATGAGGCAAGATGGATTGAGAGTTCAGAGGCAGAGAAATGACGGGTCAGACGTGCCCACGGGGCTCCTGTTAGTGAATAATCTTTATATTAGAATCGACTTCTTTAAATAGGATTCTCGCTGCCAAAACAACACCGAATTCCCTTTTCTCGAAAAATGTCCAACAATCAGCTTTTTCCAACTAATTGACAACAAATCTTTTCCTGTGTCACTTTCAAACTGCCATCTCAAACCGTGACATTGGGCTGTTGGAGTGTGAATTTTCAAACAGAGACAAAAAAAACCCCCCAAAACATGGTTGCTTATTTAAGCAATTGAAAAGAGAAGATGAAATTTTGTCAGAATGCATCAGCATGTCCTTTATTACCTCCCACTCTGATATGTTCTCTTTAGTATTTTAGTTTCCCCTGTACTGTCAGTGTGGGTTAGGAAAGCTTTTTTACTTCTTACCCCAAAATATCATTACTCCTCCTTCTGTGTATGAGTGGGACACTCATGTCTGTGTGCTTTTGGGAAACGGACGAGGGACATGGGATTCATTTTATTTGCCCTTCTTGAACCTATTTCTGTTTCCATTCAGTGTAAATCACCTTGTGTAGCAATTTATTTGTATGGAAATAGCTTTGGTATTGATTAATGGATTGTTTCGGGGCTCATGGTTTCGTGTTCATTCATGTCTATGCAAACGTCTGACCAACCAGTTGTGCTGCATGGGCAGAATTAGGTAGTGGGATGTTAACTTCCTGCTAAGCTGCTTCCTCTGTATTAACACTATTAACACACTGCAGCTGCAGTCTATAAAAAGCATCAATCATGGCGACAAACTGGCAAAAAGAAGGACAGTTAAAAAGATTAACCCTTCAATAAACTGTTCATTTTGCAAACATTGCATCTATTTTTAAGCGTAATTGTAGTTCTGGACCCCCTCAAAAGGCTATTTCAGAGACTATGAGAATAAGATTTTTATTAACCATGGCTGCCTCCACTGGTTGGCTGGAAATCAGCAACTGTGTTGTTTCACAGTTGGGATTTCAACAGGCTGTTTTAAAGGATGGTGGCATTGTGCGTACTGTAGCTGTGTAAAGTTATGGTAATGTTCCCACTGAAGCCAAAAACTGCCAGCCTGGTTTATTAACACTGCTTGAGTTGTGTCAGTCATTCCTGCACCCTCTCAGAAGCTTTGCGAAGACCTTCGGTTTTCCGAACAAGCAGCCATTGTGCCTTTACAATGTACTGTGTTCAGCTTGTTAAAGGGGAGAGGTGGATTTAGCAAAAAAAAGCATATTTTTTCTTTCTAGCGTTCCAGAGCAGAATGTGCCTCCTCCAGAACCCCTCACCCTTCGACTGGGAATCTCAGGGATAATAGTGTTTGTGTTGTTTGCATCCATTCAAAAATGCCACAATCAACCTAATCCATCCCATACGTTCTAGTTGTGATTTTTAATTTGGCAGATTATGTTACAAATGCGATGTTAACACTGGTGAATGACTTATGTGACAGCTAATAAATTAATTATTATACATATGTGTGTGTGTATGTGCACAGTCATGTTTAAAAAAACACTATCTCCTATTCTTAGCTTTTACTTATTGTAATGTCATAAAAATAATTGTCATAAATGAGGTGAGATAAGCGTTTATCGGAAAACTAATTACACTAATTACTAAATGGCTTCCAGGAGAACCTTTCTTTATTCATTTCTGTCCGTGGCATTGGTATTTTTTCCAATGTTTCAACCATGACTCTGTGTTTTTTCCAGATCAGACTTTCATTTGTGCACAGTTCTACGAGCGTCGCACCGCAGCATCTCAATAAGGTTCGACCTTTGCCTTGAGTCTTGGGCCACTGCAACACCTTGATTATTTTCTTTCTCAGACTTTCTGCGGCTGGTTCGGGAGCGTTGCTGGGCTGTCGGACAGATGGCCTTGTGTTTGACTCCACAACACTTGTAACTTCCTGTAGGTCTGGGCCTGACAGCTGGATTGAGGTGTTTGTGCTGACGTGATTCGTTGGATCTTCAGCTGATCTGCTGCTTTGTATTTGGCATACATCTTCCCCTTGTCTCATCTCTCCAAAAGGTTTGGGTTGCTAGCAAATTTTCTGTCTGTTTAGATGTAACTTTATTTTTTGAAGGATGAAAAGTTTACCTCACAGCTCCTCCAAACAAGCCATGCTTGTTCAGACTTGGATTTGTTATGACATTTGTTGTGACTTAACTATTTTTTTTCCATTTGTGAATGATCTTCATCGCTGTAGAATGGACTCCAAATAATTTGGAAAGGATCTCATGTGTGTACACGGGTCTCCAGCTCAGCACACAGCCATAACTTCCGCCATAATAAAGGTAAATTAGATGAGCTGTGTCTAACTGCTTCTTCCTCTCATGAGACCTTTGAAATGCCACAGCTAGTTTTTTCAGTCTGCATATGCATTTTGTCTTAATTCACAACTACAAAACAAAACAAGGAGGTTTTCATGTGCCTGTTCTGCCCTCATACGTGAAATCTTGAAAAATATATACATATATATATATTTTTTATTTTTACACAACTCTAAGATGGATGTTAGAACACTCATTTCCACTGTCGTGGATAGTAACCTATAAGGGCCCCAAAAGAAGAAAAACATGTGTTTGTACATGTGTTTTTTAGCTAATTCAGTCTTGTGAGCATAATCCGTTGAGCATGATGTTGAAAAACTTATTGTATTACTTGGCATTAAAATCAATTTAACATTTGTTTTCCATCATGTTTCATTACTTCCAGCAACGTTATTCATTTGCGGCGCCTCGATGCGATCACACCTCACCGCACTGCTGCGTCAAATGAGAAAACCTACGTGGTCTTTTGAGCACGGAGCTGACCAGTGCAGTTAAAGGCGCGAGGTCACGGACGGCTTCGCGTTCAAGCGCTTGCTGCGGTAGAAGAACGATAAAAACCGTAATGGTGTTTTGGATACACAGAGTAATTGGAAATCTTCGGGGTGACTGCAGAATGGATCGCACCGAATTTGCTGATGTGCAGATAAGCCCGAGCAGACCAATTAGAAGTGATTTCATTTGTTAGCCATTGTTTTTTTTTGTCTTATAAGATATAAAAACATTTTTTTTTTAAAGATTTGTGTCTCACCTCACTTCTGTTTACTACCTGTAATGCTGATGGAGCTGAGGCTGGATGGAACATGGCCGACACCGCCTCGCAGCTGGCAGCTTTGCCTCCTTTCTGACAAATTATCTGTCATAAAATGTGATGATTACTCCACCAGCCACAGCCACCCCCTCCTCACAGATTACACATTCGATCCACTTTGGATCTCTCTATTCGTCATGTGTGAAAGCATTGAGCTGTTGATTGCACTTTGTTGTGCGACGTATTTGATAAACACCACCCTTCACATGCCGAACCTCACCTTGGCATAAATTTTTTTTTTTTAAAATGATAAGAGCCGGTACAGTCAGACATGGCAGCATCTTGAACTTGATGGGTCTGTACAGGTTGGGAACAGTAATGAGAGGCTGTGGCTCGGCGAGAAAAACAAGTGAGAGTTTGAAGGATGATTTCAGGTGGCGTCATATTCATCTGGCACAGAGATAGCTCTACTGGATTGGATTTGTTTCCCCTCCTGTCTGCCATAACATAACACTCTCCCCGGGCGTTCACTGAGCTGCAGCTGACAGAGGAGACGAGAGCCGTTTGGGTGCATTATTGAAATGTTTTTGTTCTCTTAGTTTGCCGCAGATAAATTCAGCTTATATTTGAGTGCAGTGCTTTTAGCTCGAGATGCTCGATGAATGTGTCAAATGAAGTGTGTTACACAAGCTCCTTGGCCTTGGGAGGACTGTGCTGCTTTTACTGAGCAGTGCCCGTCGTGTCGTGTTTTTTTTTTTTCCGCGTGCACCTGTGAGTCTAAGTGGACATGGCCCTTGTGTGTTTCCTTATGTGCACGTTTTCTATGTGCGCAGATGCTGATTCGCATTAACGGGCGAAGAAGAGGGATCCAAATTGCTTTCACAGAGGTGGGAGTATTGAAGGTTGGGTTGCCAAAACAATGATGGTGATTATAAATCACGTTAATGGTGCCTCTCAATGTGCCTCCGTCTTGATCAAATTGACGTGCTGAAAAAAATGACAGCCACTGCCCAAAATGCTGCCTAAACCGCCTGCAGGAAAAGCAGCCGTGACAGAAGGTTCCGCCAACTAGGTGACAGTGTCACAAGTGTTTTCAGTCATTACTTAGATATATTTCTAATAATATGGATTATGTTGAGCTGTGAGCATGATCCCAAAGCTTATTCACTATTGCGGTAAATGCAGCCAACAGTAGCTGAATATATTCAGATTATTATGAGATTATGATAGGTGTTCTGAAGCCATATAAAGATGAATGTGTTTACAAATGTTATTCACGAGTTTAATCTTTGTAATATGAGAGAAAAAAAGGATATACTTGGGGTTCCACAGGGGTCAGTCCATGGCCCACTTCTTTGTAACCTTTATTTTTTAAAATATCCTTATATTCATTCAAACAATTCAATTTTTTTTGATGATCTGACTGTTTTTAACAGATTGGAAAAGATTTGATTAGATCATTTAGATTTTAAACAGTTAAACCATTACATATAATTTCACAAACTTAACACCAGGAGTGATTTTCTTACTTTCTAAATAGTTAGAGAAATTTAGTCACATTTAAAAAACAACTTAAATTAGATTTCAAATTACAAAACCAGACTAATTTGTTAACTTTGACACAGATCTCTGGGAGGGAAAATGCTCCAACATGTTCAGTTTAGCTGCACAGCACACATCCTCTGAGCTGCTGCAGCAGTCTGTAAAATATCAGTCACTAAATGTGAACTGATATTTTACATCTGCTACTTGAGCTGCAAACCATTGAGGGCAATACTATTAATCTTTAATAGCATCTGTGAATATGCTTTATGTTGTGTGTTTTATCTGTTATTGCTGTGGTAATAACAAAATCCCTCCCTTAGGGCTCACTATAGTTCATCTCATCTTTCTCGTTTAGCTTCTTGCACCTCCAGGCTGCCGTGAAAATGTCTTTTACCAACCCATGATGCAACCCTTCTTTGAGCTAAAGAACTCAGCAGACAGCATAATTTTGCCAGTTTTGAAATACTATTTTACAAAAAGAACCCCTTATCCCCAGTTATGTTATGTTTCAGACATTATTCCCACCTCTATTTAAGTTTAGCTTAATATTTGATAGTGAAGTATCCCAATTTTTACACATTCATGCATATATATATATATAAGATACTGCTTAAGAAGTGCTTTCGATCATGAAGAAGAACTGCACACTCAGTCTGAGCCATGTACCATGATCTGCTGTGATGAAGAGGGCAGCCACACTGAGGCGTGACCAAGGTTGGGGGGCATGAATCAAGATCACCATAAACAGAATTAAAAAGAATAAATACTTGGCTATCATAGAGGCCGGGTGATTTATTCTACACTTTCACTGCGCTGGCTGAACAGCAGCCCCGCAGAAATCAATATGTAATTATAGACATCCTACCCCGGGCCGTTCCTCTTCGGAATCCACCTCCCACCATCCGCCTGCACCAACAGCACCACCCTCAAAACAAATGTCAGAACAGAACCAGACCCGGGACAGCAAGAAATGAAAGGCTCTCCCTCATAGAGCACAATTTTGTGTAAAATTCCGTGCCTAAATGTGGAAACATTTAACTTTTGCTTTATCAGGAAATGCGTTCAGCTGAACGTTTCTTTGATCTATTAATTCATCCAACATTTTGTTTTATTCTTTTTAAATCCCGTTTAGAAGTAGTAACTCAGGTAGCTCGGCCCTGTCCAAAGATAGTCTTTCCACTCTTTGGCTTTACAGGATCCTCATTAGACGGTTCCAGTGACTTTCACCTGGTTGACTGGAAACCTGACATCATCCTGATAGCTCGCCAGGCCATCGACTTAACGGGTAATGAGGTTGGAGTTGTAGAGTAATAAAAATATGTTGGTGAACATCTGGACAGAAAAATGTATGCAAGGAGGGACTCTTTAACACAGCGATAAGCGGACCATTTTCTGAGAGCACAGATCCACGCCGTGGTGGGGAATCCTATCAACTGTGCTCTGATCTGCTTGAAGATAAACGATTGGTGATCATCATCGGTTTCATTTTTTTATTTCTATTTATTCATTTTTTTACGTTACAATTAATTTTAGAATAATCATGATCATTATGCTGTACAAATGACAGCCTTAAATAATTAATGAAGAAGATTGGACCATTCTTTTAATATGGAAAGAAAACTAAATCAAAAGACATGCAAATCTAAAACATTCCACTCTTTTTTAAAGAACAGTGTTCTTAGGGGAACTACGGAGTCTTCTTGCAGAGGGTGTCTGGATAGCATAAGTCATACTAAACCCTTACTGATAACACCTTTAAAGATGCACATGTTTCCAGTTCCACAGGCTCTAATGGCACCCCTGTACCATCAGTCTTTCAGACTTTTAAAACTCTAACAGTCGATGGTTACTCTCCCCTGATTTGTGACTTAAATAAATTCATTTCAAAGTATGTGTTATTTGGAAACACAACCCTTTTCCACTTTGCTTCAATTCTTTTTAGATTGAATTTGGTCCAGTGACTATAGAGGCTTTTCACACCCACACCTGACTTATTTTGTGCAGATAGATTCCACCTGCCTTGGTGAACTTTGTTTCCAGATAATGATTGCTGGAAGTGTTCGTTGAGCAAGTGAAGTGGATTGAGGGACACTCTGCCACTCTAAGCTTCTCTTTTTCATAAGCAATGCTAATGACTGTTGCCAAATGAACCCAAATTATCGTCATCTCTCTGCAGCTGTTTGTCTCCATTTTTGGGACACCATGTACTTTAGTCTTTGGTATTTCACAGTTTTCCTCAGGGAATCTAACAATTTATGCTTAACTAAACTGACCTGGTGATTATTTACTATCTCTGTACACAGAAAAGAAATCCATTACTATCCATGCAAGGGTCCATGTTCAGTGATCCAGCAACAAGTCAGTGGGTAAAAAGTCTTAGATTAAGAAAGTTGAGATGTCCCCGCTGTATTGTTGCCGTAATTTTAAATGTGGAGTTTCAGCTGTGGTGTTAGCACCAAAGATGGGCCTTCTGGGAACTTCAGGCCCTGACATATTGATGAACAGCTGTACAGGTCTGAAGCATCGCTTTGTGCTCCATCTCAGCTAAATCAATGAGGTGGCCGGTCAATGTTTACCCACACTCAAACTATTGCCAAGCCCGTTATCTGGCCCTGGCATTTTAACATTGACCCTTGCACAGGTAACAGCAGACACAATAATCCATCTCTCCTAGCCCGGGCAGATTAATTTAATGTCATCACAACCAACCCCCCCACAAACACCTACCCAACCTCAACTGTTCGGTTTTTAAAACGCCTCGTTTCTCTTTTTCACCCTCTCCCATGATATCTGCAGAGTTTTAGCTTGCCCTTATCTACGTACTTATCCATACTCACTGTATTCCAAGCCATCTCCAACACACCCACTTGTCTTTTATGGCTCAATCGAAGCGCTGCTACCTCCCTCACTGTGAGTGCCTCTCAGCCTGGAAACAGAAGGGAGACAGAACTTGCCTCAAGCCGACACATGCATACCATTGCCTATCAATATCCGCTCTCAGCGATTGCGAGTTTGAGTTTCATTTCAATTCCCCGTTTGTCTGCCACTGGCTAGATCATTTAAAAGCTAAGAGCATCGGAAATGTCTTCATTCATAATGGCCCAACGAAAGTGACCTCATACAGAGTTTGTAAATCATCATCCAAAAGATTGTTCCAAGAACCACATGCGATTTTATCATAGAGACAGAGTACAAACATCCCAACTTGTGGTGTTGTTTTTACAGAAACTATTTGCTGATAGTGTCGATCCAACGGACTCGAGTGCATTCACTTTCCCTCTATGTGATAAAAGAACGGAAACATGAACATGAGCATTCGCTGTAGGAAAATGACTGAGTGGCCTAATTATCTTACACATTTTTTTTTGTGATTAGAAAGGTTGATAGGTGATAAGGCTTTTATAACATACTGAAAACAGAGAGGCTTCCATTGTCAGTGCATCTCACTCAAAGTTTCAGGATCCAAAATCTTCTCAGACGAGTACCAGCAGTTTTGGCCTGGTCCGTGATCCGGATCATTCCAAATGATTCTTGTTAAAGTGGAATTCAATAAGACACAGAAACAACAGCATACTGCGGATACCAGGGATCAAAGACACAGAGGCACCGAAGTCCAAATCATTAATAGTTTATTTTCAGATGGCCAGTGGCACAGCACTTTTCTCCCATAACCCTCTGCTTCTTTAAAAAGCACCAACGGGACCATCTGTCCAAATCACTCTGTGCTAAATCTATGAAACACATATAGAAAATATACATATTTGAATATGGCAGCAGGAGTTTGCAATCCTTTTCTTTCTAAATCCACAGCTGTCACATAATCTTAACACATCTTCATGCAGGCATTTGCTGAACATCTCACTGAGCGTTCACGGCTTATTTTTGGCCGTCCCACCACGGCCCGATGACTGCACAATATTTGAATTGACAACTTATGTTCTGTCAAACTTCTCATGCAGAGTCATCAAAGCGGTTTTGTTGAATCTGGCTGAACCCGAGCACTTTGTGTGCCCCTTAATTTATTCTGCTGATCCTTTCAGCATGCCGGCTCTATAACAATATACATGCACTCTGTTTTCAAAGCGTCTTTTTTTCCAGATTGGACAGATGAGGTCTGCTGTTCCCCTTTATTCCCCATATTCTAACCTTCTAAATCATTTTAAAGCTAAGTTGTGATGAGCAGAATAAGGACATGCAGTGCTTTGCTCTGTGTTGCTCCATTCTTTTTGCTTGGCTTGGACCTTGGTGAAGAAAACATGCTTACGTGACAAAAACATGCCTTACCTGCAGTCCTGATTGTGTGTGCGTTTACCTCACAAATGAGAGTTCTATTTCATCCCTACTGACCGCCAGAGGCGGTGCTTCAAGCACTGAATGATCATTCTTGCGCATGCGCAGGTCGAGTACTAATGACAACAACGTCACACCTGTGACCTGCCGGGGACCCACGTGACTCTATATAGTCACGTGGCACCCGGCAATCAATCCCTTTGTTCTTCTCGCGCGCAGGTTTGTTGAGAACAGGTGTGTGGTCGTGTGAAGCTGGTTGCTTCTGTGTGTACCACTTATTTCCTGGCGGCTTGTCGCTGGTAGCCCGTGACCGGGTTTGGTCGGAGCTGCGGGTAAGTCTCGCCCTCCAGGGGCTGCACAAGCTGCTTTTGCCTTACCGGATCTGCGGTGGCCGCGGAGACTGGTAAGTGTTTATTCTTTTCTCAGCAGTGGTTTACTGTTCGCTTTGATTTGCCACTTTTGTGGCTCTTTTTGACTCACAGTAGCGTTTCTGCTCGCGCTGAGTTGTTTTCAGTTTGTTTATCTAGACTCGCCGATAGCGTCTCTGCTCGCGCTGAGTTGTCTTCAGTTTGTTTATCTAGACTCGCCGATAGCGTCTCTGCTCGCGCTGAGTTGTTACCTGCACTCGCCAGTAGCGTTTCTGCTCGCGTGGAGTTCTTCTATAGTTTGTTTGCCTACACTCACCAGTAGCGTTTTCTGCTCGCGTTGGGTTCTTCTACAGCTTGTTTATCTGCACTCACCAGTGGCGTTTTCTGCTCGTGCTGAGTCCGTTTTACTTTGCTGTTGTTTATCTGACTCACCAGTGGCGTTTCTGCTCGGGCTGAGTCCATTTTTACTTTGCCGTTGTTTATCTGACTCACCAGTGGCGTCTCTGCTCGGGTTGAGTTCATCTTTGGTTGATTATCGATTTGCTAGTGGCGTTTCTGCTCATGCTGAGTTGGGAACCTCCTACGGGGGTTTTTCTACAACGGAGTCGCCGGTAGCGTTTTCTGCTCGTGTTGACTTCTTGTTGGTGGCGGGCTACTCACGCCTTTCAGCAGTATGATGCTGGATAATTTATGCTGCTCGACCTGTCTGGCTCCACTTCAGCCCGACGACGGGCATGACTTGTGTCCCTCCTGCCTCGGTGTGGAACATCTCCGGGAGGCGCTGTCAGATAACGCTTGCCCCAACTGTTGCGTCATGCCCCGGTCAGTCAGACTGGATCGTTTGGCTGCGCTGGAGCAGCCTACCGACTGGGCGGGCGCTGCGCCGCGGACTCATTTGCCGATGGGAAAGGCGAGGTGCAAACGGTCTACTGTGGCTGCACGTTCGGTACCGCCGAGGCGGGCCGGACGGACCGATGCAGGGAGGTTGTCCACGAGAGTGGATCGTCTCACTACTGAGCTGGCCCAAATGAAAGCCCTCCTCCAGTCCTTTCAGACTGCTGATGATCGCGGCGCGGCTCTCCCTCCCGAGCAAGACGTAATGTCAGTCAATGATGATGATGCTGTTTCTGTGGCGGCCTCTGGCACCCATTTCTGTGCGGACCTGCCGGAGCTGGGCTCCGGGGCCTCTGGGTCGGACTCCATTGCCTCCCAGGAGGATACGGCTGAATCTGTGACATCCGCTATTCGAACGGCTCTTGCCCGTTTACAGATTGGTGTTCCTCAGGCCCAGCCTACGGCTTCCAGCGCCTTCTTTAAGCGCAGTAGGTCAGAGACTGCCTTTATGGTTCCTCCCTCGGCGGAGTATGTGCAGGAACTCCATGCTTGCTGGTCAGACACCAAGGCGCTTTCACGTCTGACGACGGATGGCAGGGTCCTGGCAGCTATGCAGGAGGCACCCAAGGTTGGCTTGGGGCAGATGCCAGCGGTGGAACCGGGCATTGCCTCTCTTATTATCCCACCCGATGAGGCTTTGCGGCCCAATGCCCGTTGTCCGCGTCCTCAGTGCCGTATTACTGATGACCTTCTCTGCAAGGCCTATGACTCTGGGGCCCGCATGGGCCGGATTGGGAACTCTCTATCCCATCTTATGCTGGCCCTGTCTTCCTCCTTGGAATCTGTTCCACTGGATCATGCCACGCAAGGCCTGGTTGATGCATCTCTGCAGGCCTTTGCTCTTATGACGAGGGAACTTGGACGCACACTGTCCACACTGGTTCACGCTCGCCGCCAGGTCTGGCTGGCGCAGTCCCCGCTTACTGAGCCTTGTAGGAGGACCCTCCGGGCCCTGCCTGTGGTTCCGGGGGAACTTTTTGGCTCTGCGGCACTGGACGCCTTGGACCGTACAGCTCAGGCTTCTAGGACGAGGCGACAGCTGGCAGGGCTTCACAGACGTGATCGCCAGCCAGCCAGCACCTGGGCGGCTGCGGGTCCTTCACGGAGGTCCTCAGGGCCTTCTCCTTCTTCCACTGAGCCCCAGGGGCTGGTACCAGGTCAGAGATCGGTCCAGAGACCTGCTCCAGATCGGAGAAACAGAGCTCGAGACCAAGCTGGGACGAGGTCCTTTCATCCCTTTCGAGCCGCGCAGTCTGGCCGGCGTCCTCCCGGGCCTTCGAAGGGCCGGGGGGCCCGCAGGTGATGCCTTAGGGCCGGCGGTCGGTTATTTTTCCCCGGGACGGCTCAGCTTCTGGGCTGCCCACACCCCGGACTTGTGGGTGTTGTCCACCCTGTCCCGGGGGTACCGTCTTCAATTCCGCCGCCGGCCACCTACCCCTGGCCGGGTCAGGATGACTGTGATCCGCGACCCGGTGAAGGCACAGGCACTGAACCAAGAAATCTGCACCTTGCTGGCCAAGGGTGCTATAGTGCCTGTGGACCCCCTGCTGGATCCAGGGGGCTTTTATTCCATGTATTTTCTGGTTCCGAAGAAGACCGGGGGCCTGCGTCCAGTCTTGGACCTCAGGGGCCTGAATGTGTACTTGAAGGTCATGCCCTTTCATATGCTGACCACCAAGGAAGTGTTGCAGGCGATTTCCCCGGGCGATTGGTTCACTTCCATAGATCTCAGGGATGCTTATTTTCACGTCCCAATCGCTCCGCCCCATTGGCGGTTTCTTCGTTTTGCCTTTCAAGGGAGGCATTTCCAGTTCAGGGTCCTCCCGTTCGGACTTTCACTGTCTCCCAGGGTGTTCACCCGATGTGTTGCAGCGGCCCTCTCTCCTCTGCAGGCACAAGGATTAAGGATCCTCCCGTATCTGGACGACTGGCTCATTTGTGCCGCGACGCGGGACCAGGCGGTTCGGGATACTCAGTTAGTGCTCCATCATGTGGGATGCTTGGGCTTGCAGGTGAACATGGAGAAGAGCAGTCTGACCCCCTCACAGGAGACTGTCTTCCTGGGCATTGCCATGGATTCCATCTCGATGACTGCTTGCCCGTCACCCCAGCGGGTGGACAGTATATTGGGCATGCTCCCGGAATTCAGGCGTGGCATGGCACCGCCTCTTGTGCGGTACCTTCGACTTTTGGGCATGCTTACAGCGGCGTCTGCCGTAGTGCCCTTGGGGCTGCTGTCATTGCGGCCCCTCCAGATGTGGTTGAACAGCTTGAATCTGGATCCCGCACGGAACACTCATCGTCTCCGCAGACTTCGGGTGGGGCCTCAGTGTCTTCAGTCTCTGTCCCAATGGAGGGTGAGGTTGTTTATGACCACAGGGGTCCCGCTCGGTTCCCTCCCGTGTCGTCGGGAAGTTGTGTTTACGGATGCATCCTCCACGGGCTGGGGTGCGACCTGGCGGGGTCAAATGGCACAGGGGACATGGTCCCAGTGGCGGAGCAGGGAACACATCAATGTCCTGGAGTTACAGGCTGTATTTCTGGCTCTTCAGAGCTTTCTCCCAGGCTTGCAGGGGAAGCATGTGCTGGTGAGGTCAGACAACACCGCAGTGGTTTTTCACATCAACCACCAGGGGGGAACCAGGTCAAGGAAACTGTTGTGCTTGACTCGACGGCTTCTGACCTGGGCAGCTCCATGCATGGCCAGCCTCAGGGCAGCCTACATCCCAGGGCCGGAGAACGTGCCAGCAGATTTTCTATCCCGTCAGAAGCCGCTCCCAGGGGAGTGGAAGCTTCACCAGGAGGTAGTGGGCCGCATCTGGAAGGTCTTTGGCAAGGCGGCCGTGGACCTCTTTGCCTCAAGGGACGCGTTTCACTGTCCCCTGTGGTTCTCATTGGACAACACCAGCCCTCTGGGCCGCGATGCCCTGGCACACGACTGGCCCCGGACCCTCCTTTATGCCTTTCCGCCATTCAGCCTCCTTTTTCAGACTCTCCTCAGGGTGCGTCAGGAGAGGCACAGGGTTCTGCTGGTGGCCCCCTACTGGCCAGCGAGGACTTGGTTTCCTCTACTGTGCGAGCTCAGCTCCGGCTCGCCAATGCGTCTCCCCTCCAGGAGAGATCTTCTTTCCCAGGTGGGGGGTCAGATTCTGCACCCCGAACCGGACCGGCTCCAGCTCTGGGTTTGGCCCCTGCAAGGCCGGGGTCCACCTTCTCAAGGTACTCTGGGTCCATAGGGCATACGATGGCTAATGCATGGGCCCCGTCCACGCGAGCTGTCTATGCTAACAAGTGGAAGGTCTTCGCGACCTGGTGCCGTGATAGAGGGCAGGACCCGGTGCAGTGTTCAGTTTCTGACATACTGGCCTTCCTGCAGGCATTGCTGGATCAAGGACGGTCTCCATCTACCTTAAAGGTGTATGTGGCTGCCATTTCCTGTTGGCATGTTGGGCTGAATGGTTTTTCTGTGGGCCGAGACAAAGATGTTGTCCTGTTTTTAAGGGGTGCTCGGCGTTTGCACCCACCCAACCGCCCTGTGGCACCGGCATGGGACCTTTCTCTTGTGCTTGAGGCTCTTCGGTCCCTCCCATTTGAGCCCCTGGCATCGGCAGACCTCAAATGGCTCTCACTGAAGACGGCGTTCCTTTTAGCTATGGTTTCTGCGAAACGTGTGGGGGAATTGCAGGCTCTCTCGATAGCCGAGCCCTGCTGCCGGTGGAATCCTGATGGCTCGGGGGTTACGCTGTGGTCTGACGTAGCGTTTATTCCTAAGGTGTCACCGGCGGCTGGCAGTGCCCAGCCGCTCCATCTTGCTCGGCTTGACACCGGAAGCCCCTCTGAACCACTGTGTCCTGTTCGTGCCCTTGAGACATATATCAATGCCACGGCATCCTTCCGAAAGACGAATAGTCTCTTTGTTTGCTACGCGGGCTCACGGAAAGGTCAGGCACTTTCCAAGCAGCGACTTGCACACTGGGTGGTGGATGTGATCTCCAAGGCTTATGCCTCGCAGGACCGGCCACTGCCGGCAGGAGTGAAGTGCCACTCTACAAGGGGCATGTCGACGTCGTTTGCTGCCATGACTGGGGTGCCATTGGATGTTATATGCCGTGCGGCCTCCTGGAAATCACCTAGTACCTTTACTCGGTTCTACAGGGTGAATGTGGCTGCGCCCCATCCGCTTCAAGGAATTTTGGAGCAGCATGCCTCTACATCACATTAGGTGGGTGGTGTAGTCGCGGTTCCTTGTTGCTGATTCCTCGTGACCTTGTTGATATGAGTCATCCAGTGCTTGAAGCACCGCCTCTGGCGGTCAGTAGGGATGAAATAGAACGAGAGTTACTACCGTAACTACGGTTCTATGAATCCCGGATGACCGCCAGAGTGCTTGGTCCCTCGGAATCTCTGCTTTCGCGAGAAGTTTGAGGGATTGATTGCCGGGTGCCACGTGACTATATAGAGTCACGTGGGTCCCCGGCAGGTCACAGGTGTGACGTTGTTGTCATTAGTACTCGACCTGCGCATGCGCAAGAATGATCATTCAGTGCTTGAAGCACCGCCTCTGGCGGTCATCCGGGATTCATAGAACCGTAGTTACGGTAGTAACTCTCGTCTTCAAGGATAATTGTCCTATACCTGCTGTTTCTGCTCCTTCTGCTACCTGCCTTGTGTTATATTTGTAGCTTTTCTGCTTTTACATTCCCACCACCGAGATAAAAGCTCAAACTCCAATATCAAATTGAGAACGCACATACTTTTACCATATAAAGACTTGTTTTGGGAAAGGAAACATTCAATAGATTACATTCAGAAGCAAGTAAAGTGAGATCTGGCAGGATAATGGTGACACATGCCATGCAAACATAGGCATCCAAGCCACTTTTGCTTTTCGATTAACACAATGAGGCTCACACACCACAACCGATATCACACGCCAGGACTGTGGGAGATAAAGAACATTGAAAATGAGCTCTATCACAAGCAAAGCAAGCACAACCCTAAAATCAGGAATGGCCTCTGTTGCGTGTCACTTTTGAAACAACACAAAAAAGTCCAAGAAAAGGAAAATCGAAGGTTGTTTTACAGCTGTGATTTCCAGGCACAATCTCCCACGCGGTTACTTCTACAAACTCAAATACCAAAGTCAACGTGCAAAAAAACTAACTAAACAGACAATTACATTCTAGTTCTTAATGAAAACTTTACCAGAGCAAAATAAGTTAAAAATATGAACTACATTTCTGTAGAACTACTGATGTGCACTGAAGCCCATCATTAGGCAACAAGTTTTCCATAAATATCCATGTTTATATCCATTTCTTTGAATATTAAGCCTGTTTCCAATGATTGTAAGTCAAATGTCTTCACAACTGACAAAAGACTTAAGGAGCTTTTAACACAACATTTGCTTTAAGCCTTCAGATGAATGGAGAATCATTGTCACAACAAGAGGTTGCTCAACAAGAAGAGCGACCATTGTTTAGACTAAAATGAGCAGGTTTCTGGATGGAGCTGTCTAGTTTACAAGCAGAAATATACTTTACCGAAGCAGAAACAAACTGGAAGAGTTGTGGCCATGAAACTTTTGCAATGAAAAGCTCAATAAATGACGCGGGACAGTCATTAGGTAGCATTCCAGAGCAACAACATCTGGGTCCAAAGCAAACAGAGCCAAAACTGAAACCGACACTTGGAAACCTTCAAGCAGCATGTACTGTACATCACACTATCTCAGGAAAAACAGACTAGTGTTGCCTCTGGCCTTATCCCTCTCTGACAGACTGTTTTTTTTGTTTTTGTTTTGTTTTATTTATCTTTTTTGCCAAAGAACCTTGTCCGTTCAGTATGTAGGAAAAAAATTAAAAAAGTTGAATGCTTTCTCTGGCTGGAACTTCATTTTACTGCAATGTTCTCACACAACAAAAAGTTGTTTAGTGATACATTAAAATCCAAGAATATATTCAACTTTAAAGTGTATCAGAATGAGCTTCAGTTATCAAGAAAACTTTTCTGTACAACACCTTATTCATGGTTCATGGATCATATTCACAGTATTTCTTTTCTTTATTGAAGATTTTGAAAAACATAGCCACCCCTGGATTGTGTATCGAGTAAATATTTGACAATGACAGTGCAGACAGAAACTATTTGACAGTTGTATCTTTAAATCAAATTTGCAACATCAGCAAGTAAAGCAAAAAAGAGAAAAATAAAAAAAGAGCAAGGTGCAAGTGCATCCACTTGTTTTTCAGCCTGCTGTCAGACAAAACATCTGAAGGCAGACTTTTTAAATCGAGAGCAGGGAAGAGCTTAACATGGATGAGGCACAAAAAGCAACGGAGGGCCTGGAAGGCTGGAGGGAAAATCTATACGGCCTGTAGGCGCTGGCATTTAAGATTCATTATAAGCAAATCATGTCTGTCTCAAGACAGCAGTTCAGCTGTCACCCTGATATATGATCGCAATGTTTCACCCCACTTTCTGATGGTCCGCGGTAATTTGATGCTAAGCCAATGATATTCATCTGCCCTCTTTCTCCTTCTCCCTTCCACTCTGTGCCACGGCTCCACATTGACATTCTGGCCGGCTTTAAGGAGCTTGTGTAAATAGGAGAGATAAAGTCTATTTGGCTGTATATATATTTGAGAGAGAGAAAGAGATATACCCAGAGCCCTTTCCATTATTTGATCTGAAGGGACACAAGCAGGTAGGGCTTTCAGGGCTTTTCAGGGAACATCTATGACAGGACTGCACAATTATGCCGTTTGACTCGGATAAGTGGCCCGAATTTAACTATTTGCTGAGCTATTGTGTGAAAAATGTCAAGTGTATAAGAATGAGAGGAAAAACATCTATTTTTCTACAGCCCAGAGGTCTGACAGCAAACTGTAACTGAGGGGAATATTTAAGTAATTTAGGATGCAAATTGTTGTTTTTAAAATGATTTGAGCGCATCTGCTGTTGGTGGTGACTGATTAAAGTGACATTTCCCTATCACTGGTGTAAACATGTAGTTTGTGCTGGATGATGGAATCAAGATTATAAGAATGAATGTGAAGGGAAACAGGCGAAGTAAAACATTATTCTGTATAACCATTGGGTGAATAAAAGCTTCAAATCAACTATCCTTAATCTCTGAATCATTTGACAATATAAGAATATATTGACATAAGAATCTGGCTTATTAACCGTGTTAATCAAAGTTTCTGAACCTGTGAGCCTTTTGTCCAAATGTTTCTGACCTTTTTTAGCCTTAAGGACACCACACCTTGAACTTGGATTTGAATCACACAGCAGGTTTGTCCGGCGTGATCTATTTAAAACGTTTTCCTAAAATATGCGTGTGCCGCTGAGGCATATAGGGGCTCAAATCTTCTCAAAAAGCAACGTTTGCTTTGGGCTATTTGGCACGCTCGTGAAGTCTGGTCCTCTTTCATGCAGGCTGTTGTCGTTAACCCCCAAGCAGAGTCTTGCATAGCCCGGCATGGAAAATGTCTCCTGGTTGCCTCACATTTTCTCATCAACTTTCCTCACCTTGGGAGCTGACTTCTGCTATTGATGCAGGCATAAGAGGAAAAAAAGACAGTTGTAACAAGAGAGAAATATGAAGCTTTCATGCTAGGGGGGGGGGGGGGCATCATTGGAGTGAAAATGCACAATGAAAATGCAAAGGCTGAACTTTTCTTCAGGACTGAGGGAGGTGTGATGGGAGCAGAGACATCTTAAAGGCTCAAGGATAAAGGGAGAATGGCAGGTGGAAAGATAAGCCCCGGATCTGACGGAAGAAGAAGAAAGAATTTATCGCCGGGCTTTTTGTCGCTGTATTTTCTTATAATGTTTACCGCCTATAAAATCTCCTGCTCTGTACTCTCTCCTGCATACATTTCGTATTTGAACTCCTCACTGTGTCGTATTGTTTAATTCCCATTATTCACCAGAGCTGTCGAGAAGTAACACGTACAGGAACAAAAACGTGTGACAATCTGGAGGAAGTAGTGTCCAGGGAGTAGGCCAGTAAAAGCTCTGAAGACCAGTGAATACTCAACAAACGCTAAATAGTAGGTGGCTATCTCTTCCAGAGTCAGCTGCTGCTTTGTTGAATGGCCACGACTGGTTACCTGCCCACTTTCCCGTCCAACAACTCTCTCCCTGGATTACTCATTCTTTCTGCAGACGGCAATATTGCATTTTTTAATTTTTTTATTTATTTGACAGGGACAGTACAATTAAACATTGCAACCAAACAGGTGGCCGATGTCCAAGTACATAAGGCTTGTAGACATGGGCTAATTTGCAGCCTTCGTCCCTGGTTAGGCTTTTAAAAGGTGTTAGCATTAAGGGGGAGGGAAGTTAGTTACGACACACAGATGCATAAGAAACAAGAGAAGTTAAAACAGACAGTTGTATCACATTATCCCAATTCATGTTTTTCAGTTCATTTTCAAATAAGGGTAGCTCATTGCTCATGGCGAGGCTGATAGTCCACTAAATAGTCCACTTAGAAGGCTACTAGTTTGCCAAACCAGGCAGGATTAACCGCTTTTTCCCATTAGCCTTATTAATTCAGCAAAGCTGGACTTATGAGATCGTGCATAGTTGGGACTCAAAGGTGTCATTTGTAGAAATAAGGTTGTAAAAAATGTTTTTATAAAAACTGATTCTGATTCATTTGTGAATTTCCTTTTGATCTCAAAGTGATCTGTGTATTCAAATAAAAAAAAACGTATTAATTGAAAGATTCTACCTGAATATCAGGGGCAGAGAGGCGTCAAGCTGCTCGATAGGTAAAATCATTTAAAATTGGGCTACTTTTGACTGAGCTGAAAGACACCTGCTATTAGACATGAGCGTTAGCTTGCCCGTCTAAAGTCTGATTTTTATATTTAGTATTTAGTCCCTAGTTTTCCAGAGGGGACTTTAGTGCTTTTGGGAAATCTTTCTGTCCTCTGTCCATTGTCTTTTTCTGCTCTGAGCAAAGGTATGTGATCCCATCAAAGACTTAAGTAATGCCCAATCTTTTTTGTGGTGCTTGGTTCATCTAACTGCTTTGCAATCTCTGTTAGAGTTCAGCTCGGCAGAGCAGAACAAGCCCTGCTTTTTGCCCCCTAGTTGCAAGCATAACCTGATAAGAAATTTGCACAAAAAAACCCAAGTTGTCGTCTCAGGACACCTTTCAGGATATTTCCAAGATGTCTTTCAGGCCTCTGAACTGTATTCAGCCCT